GATGGGAAGGGATCCCTTCTATAACCTTAGGTGTGTGTGGAGGGAGGGTGCTGGGGCAACTCCGGCAGGTGGCTTGGGGGTCTGAACAGACTGTACGTGCAGCTTGCTTGTGGCCCAGGTCCTGTCCATGCTCAATCCCAGATGTACAACTTCCATCTAACAATGGATTGTTGCTGGGCTTGCCTAACCTTATAATTTAACTCAGCTGATGTAACCCAGTTAATGAAGGGCAGTTCCAGGTGCAAGGTCACTTGCTATCCCACCATCAGGCACTCCATTTCTACCAGGGCACAGTAGCGTGCCAGGAGTTGTCTTGCCAAAGGCATATGATCCTTCACTGCAGATGGCATGGCCTTGCTCCAGAATGCTGGGAGCCTGCACTGTGACTCTCCCACTGGGGCAGGCTACAAGCTCTACACAGCATCCTCCTCATCACTCGTGCCTTTTGTACTATAGAGTCTGCTGGGTTGATGGCTCAATTGCAAGGCTACTTGCACTGCTGCCTGGACCTGCTGCAGAGCCCTTTCCTGTTCTGGGTCCCACTTCAAGCCGGCAGCCTTTCGGGTTAGCTGGTTATTATTGGTCAAGTGGTGTCCCAGGTATGGAATATGCTATCTTCAGAAGCCAAAGAGAACTTCTAGGTTTTGTGCTTCCTTCTACACTGTGGGAAATAGAAGATGCAATCATTTGATTTTGACTTTGGATGGACAGTCCTGACATGCTCCTGTCCACAGGACCTCTAAAATTGTGCCCTGTGCAGGCTCCTAAATTTCTGTAGTATTCATCTCCCACCCTCTGGAGTGTGTGTAACCTACCAATGCCTTTAACATGCTAGCCACTTTTTGCTCCTCTGGCCCATTTAGCAGGATGTCATTACGTTTTGGGGTCTATTTATGACAACAGTTTAGCTTACTTTGTGAATAGATTTAGTAGCAGAGCCTCCAAATTCTATAGATATATTGATCTCAGTCCTAACCCCATCTGGAACTGAAAGCCCAGAGAAGGTAATGAATTTGTCTAAGGTCGTACAAGATGGCTAGGATCAGGACCCAACTCTCCAGTTTTCTTTCCCCTCTGCTATTCTGCCTTCTGTGGTCCTACATAAGTGGGCTCTTTTGTGTAACATATGCGGCCATGAGATTTCTCTTTCAGCAAGAGAAAGAGACAGGAAGAAAGAGAGGGAATGCATTTTCTTGGCCTAAATTAGTGTAAGCCATTAGCTACCTACATTGACTAAATTATCTGGAATGAACGTTCAACTCTACATCACATATAGTTAAAATGACAGATCTGCTTAAGATTTGTTTCTAGCATTCATTATTTCAATTTAGACAAATGTGACCATTCAGTGTGAGGGGACCACAGTGTCACTAGGTCCCTGTCAGTTCTCAATTATACTGTTATCTTAGAGGGGGAAAAATGTGAAATTTGAATGTAGAGGAGTGTTGATTTGACTGCTACAGTTTATTTTACATACAGAAATGAAATAATATGTAGCAAAAGCATTATTACAAAGATAATGAAATAAATAACCAGTATTTATAATAGTATAGTATTTATAATAATATGATAGTTTACCATTTGTCAGACGTTGTGTAAGAAACTTTATACATACACACACACATCTCATTTAATTCCTGTATCAATCAGCTTCGCTGTGGTAACAACTCCCCAAATCTTGGTGGCTTGCACAACAAATGTTTCTTTCTTTTTTTTTTTCTTTCTTTCTCTTTTTTTTTTTTTGAGACAAAGTCTTGCTCTGTCACCCAGGCTGGAGTGCAGTCGAATGATCTTGGCTCACTGCAACTTCTGCCTCCCAAGTTCAAGTGATTCTCCTGCCTCAGCCTCTCGAGTAGCTGGGATTACAGGCATGCGCCACCATGTCTGACTAATTTTTGTGATTTTAGTAGATATGGGATTTTGCCATGTTGCTCAGGCTGGCCTTGAACTCCCGACCTGAAGCAATCCACCTGCCTCAGCCTCCCAAAGTGCTGGGATTACAGGCATGAGCCACTGCGCCCAGACCCAAATGTTTATTTCTTGCTTGTGTGACATGTACTTCCTTGAGTTTTTCCATCCTGGGATCTAAGCTGAAGGAACAGCTCTCTGGAGCCACGCCATTCTGGTGGTAGGAAGGAAGAGTAAAAGTGGTAGAACCTTGCAATGCCTCTTGAAGTGCCTGTTTGGAATGTCTACATCATGTAAATGGTCATGGACAAGGATGTATAATTCCTCACACTAAAAAAAGGGGAGGCCGGGCGTGGTGGCTCAAGCCTGTAATCCCAGCACTTTGGGAGGCCGAGACGGGCGGATCACGAGGTCAGGAGATCGAGACCATCTTGGCTAACACGGTGAAACGCCGTCTCTACTAAAAAAAATACAAAAAAACTAGCCGGGCGAGGTGGCGGGCGCCTGTAGTCCCAGCTACTCGGGAGGCTGAGGCAGGAGAACGGCGTAAACCCAGGAGGCGGAGCTTGCAGTGAGCTGAGATCCGGCCACTGCACTCCAGCCTGGGCTACAGAGCGAGACTCCGTCTCCAAAAAAAAAAAAAAAAGGGGAAACTGCTGGGGACAATGACCACATTTCAATCTTGCAAGGCGGATATTGACTCCACCCCCTCCCAACTTTCAGAGAGAAGAAGAGTAACTTTGCTGAACTCCTTCTAGAGACTGGAAATGTCCCTTCCAGTTGGGGTGATTAGGGAAGGCTTTGATAAAATTTGAGCTAGAGTTTGAAGGTTAGGTAGACTACCGGTGGGTGAGGAGAGAACAAGGACCTTTGCAGGCAAAGGAAAACCTCAGAATTACAGAGGTGGGAAAGAGTTCTAGTCAAGCCACTTCAGCTGGCTACAGAGTAGGTGGGAAAGAAAAGAGGAGGACAATGGCTCAGATGATGGGGGTTGGGGGAACGGGGGGGCACTTGGAAGCTAAACTAAGGGGTTGAACTTCATTTAGGAGGCAGTTAGAAGCTTTTACATATTTTTGAGCAAGAGATTGCCATAATTAAAATGATCTGGGACAGGCGTGGTGGCTCACACCTGTAATCCCAGCACTTTGGGAGGCTGAGACGCTTGGGTCACCTGAGGTCAGGAGTTCGAGACCAGCCTGGCCAACATGGTGAATTCCCATCCTACTAAAATACAAAATTTAGCCAGGAGTGGTGGCACGTGCCTGTAATCCCAGTAGCTGGGAGGCTGAGACAGGAAAATTGCTTGAACCCGGGAAACAGAGCTTGCAGTGAGCTAAGATCGTGCCACTACACTCCAGCCTGGGCAACAGAGCGAGACCCCATCTCAAAAAAACAAAACAAACACACACACACACAAAATAAATAAATAAATAAATAAAATGATCACTTCTGAATACTGATCTAACTAGGGGTTGCAGGGTGGGCTGATATAGGGAGAAATTGGAGAGCAAGGAGATCACTAAGGTCCCTACATGTCCAGAACGAAGATAGAGGTCTTGAACTAGGATGGTGGCAGTTAGAACAACAACAAAAAGTCAATTCCAGGCTGAGTGCAGTGACTCATGCCTGTAATCTCAATGCTTTGGGAGGCTGAGGTGGGAGAATCACTTGAGCCCAGGAGTTAGAGAGCAGCAGCCTGGGCAACATTGCAAGACCTCCTCTCTAAAAAAAGAAAGTTAGCCAGGTGTGGTGGTGCCCACCTGTAGTCCCAGCAACTCAGAAGGCTGAGTTGGGAAGATTGCTTGAGCCCCAGGAGTTCAAGGCTGCCATGAGCTATGACTGTGCCACTGCACTCCAGCCTGAGCAAGACCTTGTCTCCAAAAAAAGGTCAATTCCATTGACTTTTCTAAGGTGTACACCATCAAGGGGCAGCTCCATCCCCAGGCCATTGGCTCATGAGACATTCTGAAGTCAGAAGGCTAGGGCAGATCGCTTTCAGCAAGCCCCCACGGTGGTTCTCACTCCTACTTCTTTGGATATATGCCCCTCTGTTTAAAAATAAAGTTAATATGGATAAAAAAAAAAAAAGAAAGAAAGAAAAAGGTCAGTTCCAGAAACTCAGTGTGAATAAAGCATTTTACTTGCTTTCTCTATTAATCTATAACATATGTTGGTTTTTAAAAAATAATGTAAGAACCATGCAAATTGGAGCTTCAAGACAACTTCCCATCTCCCTAGGAGGAGACGGCTGCCCTAAACCCCCATACATAGAAATCCGCCCACTGCCAGGGCTTAAATTTGACGTTGGGGAAATGAAAAATCCAAGCTAAGGCCGAAGCTTGGGGCCTGGGTGACCAGTAGAATGAGGACCACTGGTCAGTTTCAGGCTGAGATGCCTCTTTCAGGGGACAATCTCCAGCTGGCCCTTAAACATTCAGACTTCAAACTCTACTTACAGCATAAAGATGTTTCAAAAGACGTAATACAAATAACTGTGTGTGCAAATGTTCTGCGATGTGTTAAGCACTATTTCAATTTCGTCTAATTTAAGATTTCTTTTCTAGCGTCACGGTTACATACATCATAGATCCAAATGCTTTTTTTTAAAGTACAGTTCTACTGTATTGTAACTGAGTTAGCTTGCTTTAAGTGAATTTGTTAAGGAAAGGATTCACCTTGGTCAGTAACAAAAAAGATGCGAAAAAAGCAAGGAGAAAGGAAGCAGCCTGGGGAAAAGCGACCTTAGCCAGGGGGGCGATTTCGGGACTCGGAGGGTCGGGGTGGACGGACTGGGGAGCTGGCCACGTGGAAGGTCGCTCAGGACCTCTCCAGGAGAGGACACCGCCTCAGGCTGACTGAAAGGAAAGGGGCAGGGGACCCACTGGCGGAGTCACTGGCCTTGCCCCGACCCCGCAGGGCCCGAAGGAAGACACCCACCACTCCAACGAGACAAAGGCTCCAGCTATGGGAAGCGGAGAGTGCGCGTGCGCCATGGAACGCGCGTGCGCGCTGCGGTCAGCGCCGCGGCCTGAGGCGTAGGGGGAGGGGCACCGGGAAAGGGCAGCGCCGAGAGGAACCAGCCGGGAGGCGCCGGACAGCCGAGCGGCAGGGCGCTCGCGCGCGCCCACTGGTGGCCGGAGGAGAAGGCTCCCGCGGAGGCCGGGCTGCCCGCCCCCTCCCCTGGGGAGGCTCGCGCTCCCGCTGCTCGCGCCTGCGCCGCCTGCCGGCCTCGGGAACGCGCCCTCTTCGCCGGCGCGCGCCCTCGCAGTCACCGCCACCCACCAGCTCCGGCACCAACAGCAGCGCCGCTGCCACCGCCCACCTTCTGCCGCCGCCACCACAACCACCTTCTCCTCCTCCGCTGTCCTCTCCCGTCCTCGCCTCTGTCGACTATCAGGTAAGCGCCGCGGCTCCGAAATCTGCCTCGCCGTCCGCCCCTGTGCACCCCTGCGCCGCCGACCCTCGCCCTCAGCCTCCACAGACTGGGGCTTCGTGCGCCGGGCATCGGTCGGGGCGACCGCAGGGCCCCTCCCTGCCTCCCCTGCTCGGGGGCTGGGGCCAGGGCGGCCTGGAAAGGGACGTGAGCAAGGGATGCACGCACGCCTGAGTGCGCGCGTGTGTGTGTGCTGGAGGGTCTTCACCCGCTTCGCGCCGACCCCAGGTGGAGGCCGTGCCGGCAGGGTGGGGCGCGGCGGCGGTGACTTGGGGGAGGGGGCTGCCCTTCACTCTCGACCGCAGTCTTTTGCCGCAATGGGCGTGCGTGGGGGGGAGGGGTCCGATAACGACCCCCGAAACCGAACCTGAAATCCGCTGTCCCTGCCGCTGTTCGCCATCAGCCCTAAGGAAGATGTGGATCGGGTTCTAGAAAAGATGACTGACTCCCTGCACGCCCCTCCCTTTACCTCCCGAGCAGTGATTCCGACAGGGCCTTCACTGCCCCTGATTTTAGGCGGGGGCCGACCCCCTCCCCTTTTCCTCCTTCAGAAACCCGTAGGGGACATTTGGGGGCTGGGAGGAATCGAGGAGATGGGGAGGGGTCCAGGCGCTGTCACTTTAGTTGCCCTTCCCCCTGCGCACGCCTGGCACAGAGACGCGAGCAGCGCCGTGCCTGAGAACAGTGCGAGGATCCCAGTGTGCACGCTCGCAAAGGCAGGGGTCACCTGGCCTGGCGATGTGGACGGAGTCGGCGGCCGCCGGTCCCCGCTCGCGGGCAGGCACAGCAGCAGCCATGCACTGACGGGCCCGGGGCTGCAGGTGCATCTCGGGGCGGGTTTCTTTCTCAGCGCTCTGCGCGCAGGGCGCCCGGCGTGTGCGCTCCCTGCCGGAGGCGCGGGGCTGGCGCGCAGGGCTCGCCCCTCACTGCGGCAGTGGGTGTGGATCCTGGTGGGCGAGGAGGGGGGAGGATAGGCTGTGCCTCCTCCCACTCCCGCCCCCACCCCCCCCCTTTTTCCCCCTCGGAACGCGAGGTGCCATCTTTTTTCGGCGTGTCACGTCTTTACGGTGCCATGCCAAACCGGGTGGCCGGGCTTCGTAGGACAGGGCGGGGCCTGGCATTAAAGGGAGGGGGACAATCAGCGCTGAAATCTTGGCGTTTTGCTGCTGCGGGCGTGAGCGCTGGGGGCGTTCACCCAGCACCTTCTTCGGGGGCTCTTTGCTTTGTCTGTAGAGGTTACGTGATCTGCGCTCCCAGCCCTGGTTTCTGGCTTTTATTCTGAGGGTGTTTAGCCAACCTCCCCCAACCCCCAAGCACCTCTTTCCTTTTTCGTTCCTCATTTCCGAGCCCATTGTTGGATCTCGAGGCTTGCTGGGGTCGACGAACCCGAGTCAACCCCCCCACCCCCGGCACGCATGGAACGGGCGTGACCGCGCGCAGCCTCGTCTCGGAGTCTGCGGGCGCCAGGAAGCTTCTGAAGGGATGGGATTCGAGTCTCCGTGCTGCGCTGCGGGCGGCGGCAGAGGGATCACGCCCCTCCCTACACCCCGAGTGTCCTGAGGGCCAAGCCACACCAGGTTGCCCAACGAGGGACGCTGGCTACCCATTCGGGGATGGGTGGGGAGCCCCGGTGGGGCCTCTCCAGCTTTACGCCCTGTTGCTTCGCCTGGCGGGAGAATGTGAGGAGGGGGCATAAGGTTACTGGTGCTGCGGCCACACCCATTTTTCTGAGCCCACTGGAGGGGGCACAGAGGGAGAATTGCCATGGGAACCACAGGCGTCCGGAGAGGGGACCTTGGGGCTGGCCCCACCCCTTCCCTGGGGAGATTGGGGACCCTGGGGTAGGCGGGGCCGCGCCCAGTTGGCCTCCTGGAGGACCCGGGAGGAAGCCCCCAACCCCTGCACCTGAGACTCTAGTTGGCCTCTGGCGGCCGCAGATAGGCAGCCCTTGGGTGTATTTTTATTAATATTATGTCTGTACTGATTAATATTATTTATCATAAATGCGGGATTTCACCCGTATCCAAGTTCACCGTACCCCCAAAACCGAGTCTGGGGCGGCAAGGAGAACTCCTGGCCAACGCATGCGAGCCTCGCCCTCCTGTGATGAACCTGGTACGCGCCGTTTTCTGGTTAATTCTATCGCTGAAAACTGGTGCGGGGGGGCGCATTCTGAGACGAACGAGCATCTAGGAGCTGAATCCTCCACGCGGGCTGCCCAGGTTGATCTGAATTTCCGGGGAATGGCTTGACTGGGGAACTAGAGCCCGCCCGGGACCAGGCTGACCTTCCTCGACGGTGGCGTCGAGGGCTGGAGCCTGAGTGCTGCGAGGCTCCCCGCATGGCTGAGCCACCGCGAGGGGTTGCAGAGCGGCTCAGGGGTCAGTTCAAGCATCTTCTCTCCTCCCTCGCCCCCAGACAGAGCTGGGCGCGGGATTCCGGTTCCAGATGGAATGAGGGTCTCGGGACGGCCCTGGAAAAGGGGAGCCCACGGCCAAGGCTGCCTATTGCCATCTCGAGCAGAGATGTCACCTGCTGCCGTTGGAGGAAAGGGAGCCCGGTGGGGATGAGCGCATTTAGCCCAATGCTGGGAACAAAGCACAATCCGCGCTTCTGCGATTTCGCTCCATTTTGAAATGTGTTGGCGCTTTGGTTGGGCCACTGCGGTGGGCAAGGCCGGGGAAGGAGGGGGCTGCTGTTAATGGAGAAACCTCAGGGGGACGGTCCTTCGTGCAACAATTAGGAAACTCCATCCTGACTCTGTGCGCGCTTTAAGGAGATGGCTTCGCTCCAGGACCTCGAGGGATGCAGCTTTGGCGCGGATGACGGTGGGGTGCTTGCCTCTGGAAATGTCTGGGCACGGATCCCGGGGCCATCGACGACTCCTCCCCATCCCCAGCAGGCGGGAGCTCTTACATTCCGAGCGACTGCTCTCACCCTCTGGCGCTCACACACCTGTAACTCCAAACCTCCGTCTCAGAATGGTCCGGGTTGGAAGGGATGATGGGGGCTCGGACAGCGACTGCCCAGCTCACCCCTCTGCGCGCTCAGGCTCCAGGCTCAGCAGGACCAATTTGAGTTATATCTGATCCCCCCTGCCCCCTTAAGTGACCCATCCTACAGGAGACAGGGAAATGTCTTTCCTACCGCGGTTGATTCTAGGGTGTCATTTTGTGTTTTGCGATGGCTGCTTATATTTACTATATAAGAATTGTTTATTTTCCATCTCCGAATCCTCCCTCTACATAAATAAATAAATGGATAAACAGATAAGTGTGTCCCCCGCCCCCACCCCCGCTAGGCAGGTCTGGAGTGACCCTTGAAGCTCATCCATTCCTTGGCCAAGTTTGCCTCCCTAACAGATATTTATACAGCAATAACCCGGCTTGGCTCTTGGGTTCACCTTTAGACGATTTGGGGAAGGGGCTTGTTGGCTTTGCTGGTTTTTGGATGAGTGACAGTCCATGAGTGTTCCTGCTGGAAGGGCGTGGCTTTTAAGTGGTTTCTAATATCAGGCACTGCTCCTCTGAGAGGAACAAAAGAAATGGATACCTGCCCATAAATTGCTAGAAATCTTAGAATTGGTTTGATTGAGGAAAGGTTAGATTTATTCGGGTTGGAAAAAGAGGCCTTTCTATTAAAGGGGCCCTTTGACCCTCATGCCCTTGGAGGTCAGTGCCAGCCTGGAGATGTGATAAGATTGTGGTTTTCCTTCTGCCTTTTTAACATCCGTTGATACAGTCCATTTGTTGAAAATTTTAAGAAACGTGTTTTATTCCACTTTCCCTCAGCATTTATGTGTGTGGCTTCAGTGGCTCTGTGGCTACATATACAAACACATGTTATTTTTCCAATTGGACATGTTATAATTTTCCAAATGGACCTTGCCTTCTATTGATGTATTTATTTAGCATCTTCCTTCCTCCCTCCTTGAAAAAGACTCACTCAAAAACAAGTAAAAACAACCGTAGGGGCCTAATACAGTGCTAGACATACAAGAGGTATCCGGTCCATACCAAATGGATTTTATCCATGAAGGATAAATGGGGAAACACAGGTTAAGAGAAACGGAAGGTGGGGCTTTATTTATGGTCACGGCAGAAGGAAGGTTTGGGGACAAACTCAGTTCAGTCTATCCCAGCCCTGTGTCCCAGTGATGCTCAGCTGCCTGTGCTCTTGGGCCACCTCCTCCCGCCCCCTCCCCCTCCCCACTGGAGCACTCCCATAGCCTGGTCCCTATGGCCCACCTCCCTCTTGTTGGCCAGAGGTGAAGATGAGAGGAAAGGAGAGAGACCACTCTCTACCCTAGGGAAGGAAGACCCTGCCCTGGCACCTTTTGGTACTTGGTGCAGTAGGTCGGTGGGAAGCGGGTGGGAAACCACATTTGACTCTGCTCCTTCCTCCACCACCACTTTCCTCATCACCGTGTTCAGAGACCCCCAAAGCCCCTTCACACTCCCAGAAACACCCCCCTGGTCATTCCTAACTTGCCATGCCCAGGAGTTAGGTGCTTCCACTAGTGACAGGGAGCTGGCGTTTGGGGGGCACCTCAGCAGGTGATGGGGAGAGAAGCCTGCAGCCTCACCAACTGGGCTGCAGCAGAGAGAGGAGCCCTCATGTTCCAGCGGGGACTCTCAGCTGTTTGCCTGTAAAACCATGCTTCTCACCTGGGGGCCACTGAGATGTCTAGAGAGATGTTTTAATTTTCACAACTTGAGGAGGGTGCTACTGACATCTCGTAGATAGAGGCCAGGGATGCTGCTAAACATCCTACATGGCACAGGACAGTCTCCTACATCAAAATATGACCCAACCCCAGTGTTACCACTGCTGGGGCTGACACTGGCATTGCTACCTTAATTACATTCATTGATTGTCTTCTAGGAGCCCTGTTCTAAGTGCTTGTCTCAGATGATCTCATTTAATCCTCACAACAATTCCCCTATGTAGCAGGTGCTGTTATT